AGGAAAGCCAGGAAACAAAATTTACTTGAAGTAACTTTCAGGTAGATGGTAGCGGAAAGAACATTTATGTAACTGGGTTGTAAAATGCTGTGGTAGAATTTAATTCACTCCTCGGAAATTTATCATTTTTAAGGCCTACCTCATTGAGATAAAACACTATAGCTTCCCATTATTCATATTATAGAATTTTTAGTATTCCGAAAAATATTCATACATTTGCACAGAAACACATAATTCTAATTCACATTAGATGTCACGTTCTAATTCAGGTACAAATGCTCAAATTAAAAACCTGATGAAGTTAGCACATTTGTATTGTTCCAAGTCCATAGCTGAGATACCTGCTCTTTACATTTTTGCTCAAACAGCCAGAAACATGCAAGGTCAGAGGGTTAACCCAGCAGAGACGTAGACAAGCATGACATCGGCTCTAACCAGTGTCCATGCATTAATGCATTTTCTTGGGTTAATCTAGCTGCTCCCTAATATGGTTCAATATTCTTCTCAAGTTTTCTCATTATGGAAGAAATCTACAACTTCACCAGACAAGTACAACGTCTATAGGAGAAGTACATCTCTCTCCAGAAAATTCATCATTTCACAAACAGCAGATTTTAACATCAGCTTAACAGTCACAAACACACAATTCCCAAACTACACGTCTAGTCTATACAATTCAGAACTGAACAGAGTTTATGAGCCGTGTTATTGTTTAAACCATATAAATAAAACCTACATTGTTTCGGTGAAGCTTCTGCTATACAAATGCGGAACAGCCGGGCTGAATAGATTCTATTAATAATGCAATATTGAGTTTGGTATTGACTTTAAGAAGTATTATCACCTCCTTGACTAACCCTTAGCTGCCAGCAGACGCTGCCTCAGGCCAGTACACACCTAATTGCTCGGTAAAAAGGCCGTTTCCCTACCTCATTGAGCCGCATGATGTGATAAATTTGCCGCAGGTACTCGCCGCCACCTGGTTTGTGGCAGATATCCAGGACCATCATGTTTATTTTCTGCTCAGTCAGTTCAAGAGCACTATCTCCTTCTTCTAAGGCTGTGCTTTTCTCTATTGTCATAAATGCACTAAGTACAAAGAAAGCATATAAGTATCAGTGGTGAAGAATTGTAAAGATGGAAAATAATCCAAGAGATTGAGTGTGGAGAGTCGACATAAATCTCATATTCAAAGCACCATAAAGACCGCTCAAATAGGTAAGCTTTCCCAAACCGCCCCTGCCCATAGAAACAGCGCCTCAGAACTAAGCACCTGAAAGCATTTAAAAAAAATTGAATCGTTTCTTTAAAACAGTTCTTTATTGCATTTGTACTCCTATCTATAAAACATTTTCCCATTACTGCAATTGTTGAAATTGCTATAATCATGGGATGAAAACAAAACATTTCTTTTCAAGAACATGTAAGAAATAATTTGTATTTTCTCTTTGAGGATAAAAAGTATCCTTGACGCCAGAAATAGCTTTGGTATTCTGTCTTTTGTAGATTCCTCTTTACACCTGTCTTAGAACACATTAAAGACTAATTACAGTGTCAAAAGGGGCAGCCTATTATGCTAAATATAGGCTGGGCGCTTCCTGGCAGCGTGCTTACCACTGGGTTTTTTTAAATTGGCCTTTTGACACTTGTTGCCTTCTAAAAATATATGGCCCCTGTCCTGTTTCTTCTTGGTAAGGATAACGAGCAAAAGTCACTACCCTGATTATTCTTCCAGGAAAAGGGTTATCGTCACCACACCGGAATATGCAACTTTTATTTGTGAAACATTTCTAAGAACACATTCGCTTGTTATTGATTTTAAACATTATTCACATAGTAACAATGAATGACATAAATTAAAAAAAAATTATCCAACTATACCGGTGCAAAAGAAATCATGATATTCAATTTACATCATATATATCCCACACCACTTTTCTTCTTACAGTTGCTATTAGGATCATGTTGGGCTTTGCAATCTAAGTATGCTTAAGAAAATGCATGGTTTTCCACTGTTCCTCAGACTAAATGAAATTTACTGTGGTGTAATCAGCTGTATACTGCAGTTCATTACTGAGATTTTGCCATGATTATAAAATTAGTTCTGCTAAGAGTCAGTGCCGCTGACCTGAAGACTGAACCAAATGATACCCAGCTGCTGGACATTAACTTTTATATTGCTTCCACATGTAGCTTCTCTTAAAAAAGAACTTTACAATAAAGCTTGCTAAAAATAAAGCGAATCCTACTCTTAGACATATTCATTAGCTAGAGTAAATCTTTAAACAAACAAAAAAGACCTTGTTGCAATAAAAGAAGTTTGTAAATATCTTTTTGTAGCTGCATATAGGTTGCAAGCAAAATTTCTTGTCAGGTTGTATAGATGCTGACATTGAAAAAGTTGAGGCCCTCTGACAAAAGAGTGTCTCAGTGTCAGCCCCTGAATTGTATCCTTTCCTGTCCATCACTGTGCAGGTGAAGCAAATGATTGGATTCAGTCAATGCCATGATTAATGAGTTCCTCTCTGGATTTGGGACTGCCTATCAATCATGTCATTAGGGAGAATGTGCCCTGAAAGAGGCAGACCTTAGCCAAGGAATAACTGCATTAATCTTAATCTGTATATGCACCCAGCCAGCCAAGTCAGGGTCACCGTGATGAAAAACAATAATCTTCAACTCGACAAATTACTTTGCAAAGACAGACATTTCTTTACTTTTGGGGCTGTGTGTTCTCCAGAATCTAAGCTGACTGTTTACAGCTTGAGTGTTACTACAAAGTGAAGGTTATTTTAACGAATAGTAATGCTTTCAGGCAGTACGCAAGACAAGCAAGGCTTACAGCTGCCTGCCACCTTTCCACTGCAGGTCTTTTCACAATTTCCATAAAATCAAAGTTAAATCTGAATGCGAGTGAAGGAAATCTACCTAAATGATATTGTGTAGTTCCAAGATAATCGTCATGGGGAATTAAAATTTCAATTATCTTAAGAGAAGAACTATTTCAGTTTAAATGGTTACATTCCCAAATTTAAAACAATTATGGTAAAAGCCAAGGCAGTCCTTCACCTATATACAGTTACCAGGGTTTAATATACGTTTTCCTTACAGTACAGATCTAGAAACTAAATGATCATCGATTTGTGAGAAACATGTAGAGGTAGAAGTTCACTTGTATAACAATCAACTTGAAATCAGAGTCAAGAAGTACATTCCTATAGTGCCCATTAAATCCTTTAAGAGGTGACGTAACGTGAGTTAATAAGTTTAACCATTTCAAATAAATATAAGAAATAACTTTAAGTCCGAATGAGATATATTGATATTTGAGAAACTGAGAAAGACATAGCATTGTGCTAATTACATACTTACTACTACACATTCAGTAACTTTAAGGACTGTACAACATTTTTTAAGATCAGCAAGTTTCATTTTGGATGCATGTTGCAACAGATAGCTAATCAGTCAAATATTAGCTAGAAAACTCCCTATATAGGAGGTATCAGATGTGTTGGTGCTGTTTATAAGGAATTTAAACCAACTTTAAAGGAAAAATTTTATTAATGGATTCCTGTAGGTGGCCCCTGAGACATTACTTCACACTGATCTTATTGATAGACCCCTAAATCAAAAGTACCATAAATTTAACTTTATCATCAGATCCACTATTTTTATTCTTTTTTTCTTCCTCTCTCTTTATAACCACTGTCGTGGATATGACATTTGGCCTTAATCTTTTAGTCACTGGATTCAATACCTGTAAATTGGTATTGAATGCAAATGTAAAGATTAAGAAGGCTGCTTTTAGAGTCTCTAAGTATTTGCCTGACTGCTGCCGTTATTCCTACCCACAGGACACCCCAGAAATAAATTTCTAGAAGTCAGTATGACAAGACCAGGAAAATCACGATTACCTACATTTTTCCATTTGGATTAACATGAAGTCTTACAGATTAATACAAACCAGTAAAGAGTATTCGTTATCATGATACCAGTGAGTGCATTTTAACAGAGTTTATGAATAACAAATGCTTACTATTTCTAAGCTTGATGCTAAAAACTTTATGAATGTTATTTAGTTTTTCAAAACCACTCCCACCAGCTTGGTTTCACCACTGACAGTGAGGCTTTGAGACATTCCGTAATTTGCCTAAGATCGCCCACTTACAAGGGATTTGTATTTGCCCATCTGATTCCAAAGCCTGAGCTCTTTGTCACTACCATGGACTAAGAAAAGTAACAATTTTTAGTCGTTTCAGGCAGAGAGTTAAAATAGTATCTGCTAGCAACATGAGTAGATTTTAAAAGAATGGGGGACAGTGTGTCAGTGATCTAAGGAAGGGCTGGTTAGTGATCTATAGGCCATATTAACTGTAATTCCTTTATCAATATCATGCAGTTCTAAACTGAAGACTAATTTTAAGACAGGAGTACTCTATGTACATATTTAAATTCATCAGGGACCCTTAAAAATCTTAGCAATACCACAAATCACTTAGCTCTTGGTGACAAACCAATGAGAAGGCTGACATTTTCATACAGAAACAGCTGGGTGTGTTTATAGCTCGAGTGTGATATGCCCCAGTTGCCCTCTGGGATTCTTACATTACCAGATGAAAAATGTGTACCTTTTTGACAATCAGGTACACAGAAAGCAATAAAAAGCCTTTTATATCCATTAATTCCTTCTTAATTTAATCTCCATGCCCAATCCATTTACAAAATGCTCCAGGCTATCCACTGGATACCTGTTTGTGCACTGAAAAGGAATGAAACCAAATTCTCTCGGGTTTAACTACCACTACCACCCTTTTTATCAGAAACCTTAAGATGGTGACTAAACAGGTATAATGTTCCAGCGTGTCGATGGGATTCAAATTTTAATAAAACAGGGAACGTCTGATAATCCCGATTTTAATGGACTATTTATCTTTTTCTGTATTCATCAAAGTTCCCATGAAGTTAAAGAAAATAACCACTGTTGCCTATCTCAGTCTTTTGTTGTTGTTTATTGTTGATTTTGTTATTGTGAACGTATTTGATGAAATTCAGTGAAAGAAAAACATCGCTTTACCATTTGGTGCTCAAATTTCTTGCTTTCAACAATTGGCTCTCAATCCAGTTGGGTTTTTCCTGCTCAATGCTCTGTATGACCTTCTGGGTCATTTGATTAGGGCCACTTGTCTGCTTTCCCATGATGCTTTCCAAACACACACAGATTAAACCAAGTTTCTCTTTACTCCATCTGTCAAGGGAGGCACCTGTTAAAAGTTCCACAGTGTTTCCATCCTCAAATATCTGACATATAATTACAATCAAGTTCCAGACAAGGAGGCTAGCTTTCTTCAATTCAACAAAGTTTTTTGACATTTTTCTCTCAGACAGAAAAAAGAAGTATTTAATTGGGGGAGGCAAACATGCAATCACCGTAGGTAACTTGCTGATTACAATAGATACTGCCTGAGCAGCAAGCCTTGTGAAGCCTGGGGAAGAAAGGAAAGAAAAGGTATGATTAATATTAGCATTTGCATCCCATCACTGTGTTGTTTTGAGTGTTGCGTGGGGATGTCTAATTTTTGTGGAGAAAATTGTCGAGAAGAGCAAGTGCCTGACATATTCCGACAGAACTTCACTGGGGTCCCCTCCAGTGCTGCCTAAAATTCCCCAAATCTTAAACTCATTTTTTTTCTTTTCTCATGAATGAAGATTAGAAAATTTAAAATTATTAATTACACTTTTATCTATTAGGACTGCAGGTTTAAAGGGCTCAGATGCCCTCTTAATTAACAAATGTAAAGGCACTCCTGTTGGACCTCTCTGTGGCCTTTGATACTTTCTTAAACCTCCTCCTCCCTTGGAATCCATAACAGAATCACTCCAGATCTTGCCGGAACTGGCTCCCCTTCTTCTACTTCTTAGCCCAAATGTCACCTCCTCAGATAGCTTTCACTCACCACCCCATCCAAAGCATCCCTTCATTCTCTTCCCATCCCAGGTCCCACGTCCTCTCTATCATCAGAGGCTATTTTGTCACCTAATAATTATTTTCCTAATTGTTAATTATCTGTCACCCTCCACTAGAACATAAGCTCCATGAAGACACTACTGTATCCCCAACACTGAGTACTTCATGTATCAGCTGTTCAATAAAGATATGGTGAATGAATGAGCCAACAAACTGTGTCCCATGCTAGTTCTAGTTTATACTAACACCTCTTAAATGTAGGTATTGTTAAGAAGTCCTTGCCTATTGAATGATGATTCTACACACTCTCCCTTGCTTGGGGTCCTTTATCTGAAGGATGTACTGATCCTCCCTCTCTAGATCAGGGTGCCTCAACTTTGGCATTAATGACATTTGGCTGGATAATTCTTTGTTGGGAGGAGCTGTCCTATGCACTACAAGATGTTTCAGCAGCATCTGTAGCCTACACCCACTAGATCCCAAGTAACGTTCTCCTCATTGTGACAACCAAGATTGTCTCCAAGCATTGCCAAATGTCCCCTAGGGGGCAAAACCTTTCCTGGTGGAGAACCACTCTTCTAGATGATTCTCAGAATCTTCAGTCTTGGCCTTTCTCCAGGGTAGCAATCCTACAACTACAGCTCCCTATTGGACATTTCACTTCTCTGTTCTAGTAATGATTAACTCATTATAATTAAAACCAAATTAATTGTTTTCCTTCCAAACTTGCTTGGCCTTGCTCACTCTCCCTCCCTCCTCCCTCCATCCCTTCCATTCTTCCTTCTTTTAAAATCTTTTAAGTAATCCTGTTGATCTTTCATTCCAGAAACCACATTGATAAATCCTCCTACCCCCTCATCTCTGACATCCAGTTTCACCTCACTGGGAAACATGGCTACCCACCTATTAAAGCCCCTCCTTACAAATGGTACCTGGACTACTACAGTACTCTCATAAACCATCTCCCTGCTCTGGACTATGCTCAGCCTCTCACCTGTGTCGTGAAGCCAAATTCACATACTATAAAATCTATTATCTAATTTCTCAGCCACAATTTGAGCTGCTCCCACTGTTATGAGATCAGTCTCTGGAGTGTTGCTGTCAAAATACTCCACAGTCCAGCCTCAGACAGTTTCTGTAAACCTTCTCTTTATTTTTATCCTCATTGCTTTTAGGTTTCTGAATATCTCATTACTCTAACATGGAATGCCCTCTCTCCATGGTCACCCATCTTTTTCAACTCTTGGTTCAAAGTCCTGTCCTTCTGTGAATTTTATTTGAACATACTATCTATATGACCAGTTTGGTAATTAGGTCTGTAATGTGCATGCTGTCATCTTTTGTATTATCATCTATTATTGCTTATGTTATTTATGTCTTCATGAGTTATCTTTACAACTAGATGAAAAGCTCCTCAAGAGCATGGGAAAAAAACCTCATCAGTCCTTGACTATCCCACAAAGCCAGGTATGGTGTTTTAATCCACTACATACATAATAGAATTTGAAAATTGAAACTGAGTGACAAGTCAAAAGAAGGTAGCTTTGAGTTCTTCAGTAAAACATTCTTTACTGCTTTTGCTAAACACAAATAATAAAACAATGTGAAAGATTTTTCAAGATATTTGTGACATTTAAAGAAGTCACTCTGCTCTAAAAAAGTACAAAGCTCTTGGAAAACATATGTCTAGTCTAGTGACTCCACAGAAATTCATGACAACTTAAGAATTGTGTTAAAAATGAACTGGAACACTCTTCATAAGTTTGTAAAATTGGGCCCAACATATATTTGAAAGATCTCATAAGACTATTGTATTCAATAAAATAATAAATGTGAGAACACCTAGTTTAGTACTTGGTAACGAATAGTTCCTTGATAAGTGCTTTCTTTTTATCCAAATGAGTATGCTTAGATGAAGCTTGAAATATAGATAAAGCAAATTGAGAAACTCCTTTGTGACCACTCTTCCCTGCGTTCTCAAATGATTTTAAATGTTTGTTGTTCTTTACGTGTTTGTGTCATATATTCCCTATTCTACCCTCAGGTGTTTGACTTAAAAGATTCTATCTTGTGTTCTGCTTATTTAAAAGAGGGTTTAACTGCAGATACCAAGGAAACATTTGACAATCTAAGGAGATATCAGGTAAAGATTACCGATTCTCTTTACACCTGCACTTCTACTGGTATTTTAGAAAATCTGAGGACTCCAGGTACTCAGATCCCCACGACTTTATTCAACCTTATGGCAAATTCCAATCAGAACCTTTAGACTACTGACAGGTGAATAAATCCATTCTACTAATCATAGGGACTCTGAGTCTGTGATGATGTTAACAACACTCCAGGCAGGGATCTTTTAAGAATGCCACACACTCATTTTTCTGCCCTTATTTAAATGTTCTGGCTCCTATCTCAGCCATATATATGTTACATGTTGGAAGGGCCAACTTCAGAGCTGACAAAGTGTGAAAAAACGTATGTCTTAGAATGGATGCAATGTGATATGAATATTTATGTATTTATCATTTCTTTCTTCCTAGACATGGACCACTGGCTGTAATAATATATTTTGTGATTATAAAACATGCAGAAAGGAAATTTACAATGAATGAAGTAAAGACAAAATAATATCTTAAAGTTATTTTTAAAATTTTATTTATTAATGTTATAAGGTGTCCATAATAATTTCTTGACTGAGAATAATGTGATTTAATATGCTTTATTATTTTTAGAATCTGGTCTTAACCCCGATAGAACGATTCAAAGGGCAGGTTCTAAGTTCAGTTTGTTTCAGTGCTTGATTTTAATGGCTGTCGTAGGTGAAAAAGCTACTACATGAACCTACATAGATCCACACTGGAACAAGCATATTAATAACTGTGCTTGTGAAATCATGGCACTTGTTTTTCAATCCCAACCATCAAATAGGCAAAGGCTGTTGTTAACATTTGACTGCTAAATAGTCATTAATCATGATGTCAATTAGTTATTCTTGAAAACAAATAGAAAAATATTTCATTTTTGTATTTTCAAGAAAAATATTCAGGAATCACCGAAACTCTTATTTGGAATATTTTAAATTATGTTAGAAAACTCTATTTCTAAGTTCTTAAGTGTGTAGGTAGGGTATTTTTATTGGTGATACTGGTTTTTATAGAACTAGTATTTCTGGGTTTTATAAAATAAACTATCTTAGTAACTTCTGATAGCATTTTGTAATTTCTGCCATCAGTTTCTTTCCCAACAAATCTGCATGTGAACGATAACATGAATACATTTCTTCTTGTAATGCTCCTCTGTTTCCTCTCCAGAATCCATTCATTTAAAACAATCACTCCAACAGTTTTCCCATAAAGCATTCTTTTTATTTAAAAAGTAATTTATTGGGGTAGCTGGCAGGCTCAATGTTACTCTTAATCTTGGTGTTCTAAGTTCAAGCCCCATGATGGGTATAGAGATGACTTAAAAATAAAATCTCAAAAAATAAAATAAATAAAAAGTAATTTACTGCTACAAAAATTTCTCTGGCATATCTTTCATTTAATTGCTGTCAATGAGGGACGCCTGGGTGGCTCAATCGGTCAGCGTCTGCCTTCGGCTCAGGTCATGATCCCAGGATCCTGGGATCAAGTCGGGCTCCTTGTTCAGCAGGGAGCCTGCTTCTCCCTCTGCCTGCTGCTCCCCCTGTTTGTGTTCTCTCTCTGACAAATAAATAAAATCTTAAAAAAAATTGTTGTCAATGAAACAAAGCAACTACATTGTGTATCTGTTCTTTGAAACATAATGGAGCAAATACCTAAGCTGAGCTATATCAGAAGCATCTGAACTTTCATTCAACTCTTTGGTAAATCTCCTACATTGTATAATTTATTGTAATATTTATTTCTTTAAATCGTCACTATTTTCTATGTAACAGTATTTACTGACAATGTAATACAAAAATGCATTTCAGTTTGTCACCATAGTGTTTTCCGTGTTCCCTCATTTTCACCATTTCAGGAAGGACAAATGTTCCCTTAAGCTAATGACTATTTGTCTTTTAATAAGTTAGAATCTTCAAAAAAACCCGCCACCATCACCCACAAAAAGGACTCTAAATATTTATCGTTACTTAGACAAATACTGTAAAGTACTGGTTATATCACTTGACTTAAAACATTCTTGAAAACAATTATAGAGGTTTGTCTTCATGTTTTGGATGCTTAGTTTTGAAATCTTTGGCTAATCAAGATGATTTCCAACCATCTTTAGCTAGTATCTCAAGGCATGATACCTACTTAGGAGGGATTCATGTTTAACAATAATGTATGGGAAGTCATATTTCAAGTGGTTTTCCCATATATTTCCTTTTTAAAAATCTTTTTTTTTTTTTGCCAAATCTGATCAGATCATCATCATTTTACCTTATAAATATGGCTGAGAAAGAGCTCATGTCGGGAACAGAAGTCAATGTGAGCTTTTTCACTTGGTTATCGTCTGCCCTTCCTTGCACTGTCAGTATTAGGTTGATTTGTTAATTTACAGGAATATGTTAAAGCCACTTGTGTGTTTTGTGAGGATTAATATTGTTAAAACTACTAGATTCTGAAATACAAAGGACAAACTTGATTCAATATTGTACCCTAAAAGCTAATGAAAGAATAGGTCCATCACCCCCCTATAATTGCCTCACTCACAGACCCAGGGAGAGTTACAGTAACAATCTTCATATGAAATTTCAGTAAAGTTTCATTTCGTCCTTTCTTCTCATATATCAAAGAATTGTCTTGTATATCCCCAGAGGCATTTGCACGCATGTGGAACCAGATACCTCCAAGAGGAGGTATCTACTTTATAGTTTATCTCTAGCCTCAACTGAAGCACTTGGCATGTAGTAGTAACTCACTTAGTAAATACCAATGTAACGAATAAGGAACTTAATGTCTGGCCTGTAAATATTATTTGTCTTGCATACTGTAGTGATAATAAAGGTTGAGCACTGTCAGTCTAAAAGAGGGTAGAGAGATGGAGAATCATGGTATTCTCCTATTGTTATATCCACCTGGAATGTACAAAATGGTTTATACAATCACTTTCCTCCACCATTTTCTTTTATATATTTATGTGACTTGGCACCATTTATGGCTGTCCATTGTATAAGGGTTGTACATCTACTCTTACTGATAGTTTTATGGAGAAAATTACTTAGTAAGGAAAATCACAAGAACTGGTATCAACAAAGTAAGCATTTTTTTTGAACCTGAGGTTCTTTGAAAGATTATGGAAGAATTCCAGAATACCTGTACAAAGCAAAATTATTCATGAATAGAATGACTTGAAAGCCACAAACAAAATAGTGCTACTCATACAACATATGTTAGCTATAGATTATGCCTCCTGAATTGCTCAAAATCTATGAAATACCCAAAAGCTAGAACGAAGGAGAGATGGCAACAACTCAGACAAGGAAGAACTTAAGTAACGAAAAGCTGACATTTTCCAATTTCAATTAAATGGCTTTACTAGATTCAAAGGCAGTTTAATAGGGCTTGGACAGAATTAAAGCATTACTGTGAAAGGTCACAGATAGATAATTGATTTGAGTTTGTAATATAAGGTTGCTGGATAAAAGCCACATTAGTTAGGATCTCCATGGAGAAAGACTAGTCCCTTCAACTGACTTTGGTAGGTTCAGTTAAAATATTTTACCATTGAAAATTTCCTTAAGTTCATGAAAAAAGTTCTTCTTTAAAGATTAATATAAAGGGAAAAGTTTTATTTAAAAAAAATCCTAAAGAAGCTTCATTAATATGGCTATATAATATACATTAAAAGGAATCTTAACACAGAAACGCATAGGTACAAAGAAACCAGGTAAGAAGAGAGGTCTTAATTAATAAAATAAATGAGGGGAGCCTGGGTGGCTCATACGGTTGAGTATCTGACTCTTGGTTTCAGCTCAGGTCATGATCTCAGGGTTGTGAAATCGAGCTCCAAGTCGGACTCCCTGCTCAGTATGGAATCTCCTTGAGGCGAAGCCTCCTTTGCCTCCCCTCCCCACTCTCTAAAATAAATAAATAAAATCTTTTTTTAAAAAATTTATTTGACAGAGAGAGCAGCAGAGGGAGAGGGAGGAGCAGGCTCCCCACTGAGCAGGGAGCCCGATTAGGGACTTGATCCCAGGCCCTCGGATCATGACCTGAGCTGAAGGCAGAGGCTTAAGAGACTGAGCCACCCAGGTGTCCCAATAAATAAATCTTTAAAAAATAAAATAAAATAAACGAATAATGTAACTCATGGTTCTAAAACACACTTAGATGCACAGCCCCTAATAGGAACAATGCACTGAATTCAGAACCATAGATATTGGGGGAAAATACTCTTGTTAAAAAACCACATGGTTACTAAATGGAGTGCTATTTTTTACCTAAACGCTACACAAGTAGGTCTGTTAATAAGAGAAAAGAAAGTAATAATTGGTGGTTGCAGTGGAAAAAACTTCAAGGAAAAATATTAAACTGAACATCAGAACAATCTTCTTGAGAGTATGAATTTTAGATTACTTAGTAGATTTAAGCTTAGTCACAATCATTGACTAATCTGTGAATACTAACATGAATGCAACATTTCACAGAATTTCTGTAGTTAAATAAAGATGATGACCATTTGAGTCCACTAATCCGTGAATACTAACATGAACACAACATACCACAGAAAATTCTGTAGTTAAATAAAGACTTTGGCCATTGGAGTAATTTTCATTTCTAGTTTCGTTGGTCATAAGGCTAAAAAAAAATTACAGGTCCCAAATACGTAGAAATGGTGGGGAAAGGACTAATGTAGTTTACAAATCTTACAATTTTTAGAATTTTACTTGATTTCATATCCTGGAAAATTGCTTCTTTGCGGATATGTTTAAAAAAAGAAAAAGGAAAGAAAGATACCTTTGCTTGATTCTTTCCTTTTAGTTTTTTTTGGAATATAATTCCATTCCTTTGGAATGCTCTCACGCAAGCATTCAGGAACGCTGTGCTTGTTGAGGTTGGTCTCACAGCTTCTCCCAGAGCTCATCACAAATATTATCTGCTGTACGATGTCCTTGACAGCGTCGGTCAGTGCCAATCTCAAGCATCGGATGACCTCTAGCTCGGACTTTGTGCATGTTGAGACTTTAAAATCAGACAGCATATTAGAGTTAGCAGAATCTGGCAATATTTTGTGTGTTATTCAACTGGGAATTCAGTTTGTCAGTAATCTAATTTAAAGCTATAGAAAAGGAGAGCTGCTTTTAACTTTGAAATCATATAATTAATAAATAGTCCAAAAACATGTGGGAAAAAAAGTTTCTTCTTAGTAATAAAGAAAATGGCAATTAAAATAACAGTGAATAACATTTGTTTGTGGTTTGGAACTCTAAAGGTAGAAATATAAATGGTATGACCTTCTTAGATGACAACTTGGCAAAAATATCAACACTTTAACATTTTACTTACCTGCTAACCCACTTATTCTGTCTCTAGGACTTCATCCTAAGAAATTAATTACAATCATGTAAAGGATATAAAGGAAAATTGAAAATAATCGAAATGTCCAATAATTGGTTATTTGTTTAAATAGCTACACATCTATACAATAAAGCCATATATTATTCAGTAGAAAAATAAAGGCAGGGCGCCTGGGTGGCTCAGTTGGTTAAGTGTCTGCCTTCGGCTCAGGTCATGATCCTGGAGTCCTGGGATCGAGTCCCACATCGGGCTCCCTGCTCAGCGGGGAGTCTGCTTCTCCCTTTCACCCTCCCCCCTCTCATGTGCTCTCTCTCTCTCTCTCAAATAAATAAATAAAATCTTTAAAAAAAGAAAAAGAAAAAGAAAGACAGGTTAGGAAAAGCATGACATGCTATTTATTTTAAATACACACATGCACACACACACACATAAAAGAATTAAAAGATGCACTCTACAACATTAACGGTGATTACTAATGACTGATGTGATTTCAGATATTTTCCTCTTCCTTTCGTTTTTCCCCTTTTTACTTTTGTTTCTTTTGTATCCTCCCTCCCTTCTTTCCTTCTTTCTGCCATCCTGCCTTCTTTCTGATTATATATATTACCTACCATGACTATGTATTACTTGTGTGATAAATGCAATAAAATTTTACTTGTTTTTTAATATGACAGGGAAGTCTTGGGGTAACCACTTGAATCAATACAGAAAAGTACATATATGTTTTTCCTCTCAAATTTTGAGGTAATGTTCCTTTTTTTTTTTTTTAACTTTTATTTACTTAAGTAATCTCTACACCCAACATGGGGCTCAAATTCACAACCCTGAGGTCAGGAGTTGCATGCTCTTCTGACTGAGCCAGTCAGGCACCCTGAGGTGTTATTTCTCAAATGACTCAATTCATTGTTAAAACTACCATGCTCCTGGAATGCCTGGGTGGCTCAGTCTGTTGAATGACTCTTGATTTCAGCTCAGGTCATGACCTCAGAGTCCTAGGATCAAGCCCCACGTGGAGCCCCCTGTGGAGCCCTGCACTGGGCTCCTTGCTCAGTGCGGAGTCTGCTTCAGGATTCTCTCCCTCTCCCTCTGCCCCTCCCCCCACACTCTCTCCCTCACTCTAAAATAAATAAATAAATCTTAAAAAAAAAAAGAAGAACCGCCATGCTTAAGAGGATCTTGATACTATCCAATATTGAGAGTTTAACTTTTTAACATAGTGCAATCATTGGGTGAGCTGTTGCTCTTTATGGGAATGGTAGAGGATAGAGCAGTCTATCTTTTCAAATGATGCTTCAAGACTTTAATTCATTGAAAGGCATAAAGAAGCCTTCTTCCTGTATCTGTAATTAATATTTATTTTGCTTGAACTCTGTGGAGTTATGGATTAAATACATCTCAGGTATCTAAAAATTCTAGAAAGCCAGAAATTCCCCTATTTCCTTTTATTAAAAGGGAATGTTTATTCCTTTTAAAATAAAATCAAGGTATTACAAATGATAGAGAAAGTAACAGTCGTATCTCAAAGAATTATTTAAAACCTATATGAATTAATTTGTAGGCACTATATACACTATGTAAGTATATGCTATTATTATTATTACCTAACATGAATTTCTGTAAAGTTTATAATATTATAGTATAGGGTTCCCAGTGTTCTCTTGATGCAGGGTTCTGAGACGAGCATGGGGTACCTATGGTAGGGATAAGGTATAGATATAGCAAGAAGAAAAGGAAAAATAAGAAGTAGAGAGAATAAAGAAAATAAAGCAAGTGACAAGCCCTTCTGGTTTCTGGCTCTGCATATAAAGAGCTTGGAAGTCACCACTCTGTCCTAACAACAAGGAAAAAGCTAAACAGATGGAAAAGTCAACAACTTTTCTTGGATCTGTAGAGAGGTGGGGACACCAGGCAAACCACTGTCCCCAAGATTGGAGTGACAGACAACAAATATAGGGAGTCACAGCTTACTGGCGTGGAGACTCATAAGTGCAACCTACCATGGGAACAAGTGCCAAGGGAGGAAGTCTCAATTGTAATTGATGAATTGCTGGAGGCTCAGTGTGGACAAGTCTGCGAGTTAACACGCCAGGTGACCCTGTCATATGGAGGCTGCCACACTTGTGAGTTTTACCTCTATGAGTTCAACTAGGTGCCCAGAGTAAATGTCAAAGAAAAATCTCCATGAGCTTCTAGCAAGAGGAGAAGAAAAGGATTATTTTGAAATAAGTCAGAGTACTCTGTTCTTAAGGGCTGCCCTCAGGAGAAACTACTAAAATAGAGCCTAACCCACTGGGATATTATCAGAGCCTAACTGACCTAGAAGAAGGGAAATATGTAACTTCAGCCCACTCTAGCCATACTCTCCTACATAAAATGGGAGAAAAAACCCCTGAGAAACACTTGTGAAGTACACCATCCAGAGGTATAAGCCCACTAAAGACCGAGACCTGATCATAGTACTATAGAATGCTTCTCCTCCCCCAAATCTCTCCCCCACATCACTGAAAGCCTCTTTATAGCAGTTTCTTTTACCCAATACATCATGTCCAGTTTTCAAGAAAAAAATTATAAGATATACTAAAAGGCAAAGAACACAATTTGAAAAGACAGAGCAAGCATCAGAAACAGATATGGCAATTAGAATTATCAGACAAGTAATTAAAATAAGTATGATTAATATGCTAAGGATTCTAATGGATAAATTAGACAGCATGCAAGAACAAATGGGTAGTGTAAGTAGAGAGATGGAAATCTTGAGAAAGAACCAAAAGGAAACACTAGACATCAAAAATAGTGTAACAAAAATGAAGAATGCCTTTCTTGGGCTTATTAGTAGACTGGACATAGGTGAGAAAAGAAACTCTGGGCTTGAGGATATCTCAATAGAAATCTCCAAACTCAAAAGCAAAGAGGTCAAAGTCTGGGGGGGGAAAAAAAAAAGAACAGAATACCCAAGGACTGTGGGACAACTACAAAAGGTGTAACATACGTGCATACATGTAATGGGAATACCAGGAGAAGAAAGAGAAAGGAACAGAAGAAATATTTAACACAATAATGACTGTGAAGTTCCCCTCGATTTACTATCAAACACAAACCACAGATCTAGAAAGCTCAGAGAACACCAAGCAGGGTACATGCTTAAAACTACTCATACACATATCATTTTCAAACTACAAAAAAGCAAAGATAAAGAAGTCCCGAAAAAAGCCAGAGGAAAAAAATTTATCTTATTTATAGAAGAACGTAGGTAGGAATTAACATCCAACTTTTCAGAAACCATGCAAAGAAGAGTGGAGTGAAATATTTAAAGTGTTGCAAAAACAGCAACAACAACAAGAACAAAAAACAAAACCTGAACAACCTAGAGTTACGTCCCCTGCAAAATTATCCTTCACAAGTGAAGGAGAAATAAAGACTTTCTCAGACAAACAAAAATTGAAGACATTTGTTCCAGTAGACCTGTCTTACAAGAAACGTTAAAAGAAGTTCTATAAAGAAAAGGGAAAGAATATACAGGGAAAACTTGGATCCACACAAAGTAAGGAAAGACATTGAAGAAGGAGTAAGTGAAGGTCAAATAAAAATTTTAATTTTTCTTTTTCATAATTGATCTAACAGATAAGTCTGAAATAATTCCTACAAGTATTCACTTATGTATATATCTTATACCTAAGTGTACAAAAGTTGAGTCCCTCATGACTGCTGTAGGGTCTCAGGTTCTAGAAAATATTCAAGACCTAGAGACTATTTCATATTTACAGAGAAACAATTTACACAAAGACCAAGGATGTTTCACAAACTTGAAGTTCTGATCCTTTGAAACACCCTACACAATTCAGGCTGTATTAGTAAGTGTAATACCTTTTCCAAGAGACTTGACTGACGTTGTGGAGAAGGGTTTGCTCAAAGTGTAGATGAAGAGAAGACTAATTAGGAGTGAGTAGCATTTTTGCTATCTGGTAGCAGCACCTAAAGGCCATTGGTATCTTCCAGGTCATTTTCAGTACAGTTTTGAGCTAAGAGTCAAAATGGTTCAAAAACTTAAGAGTTGAAGAATAAATAGTGGTTGAAGCATGTGGGTCACCAATTCTTTATAATCCTGTGAGAGATTCACAATTCACCTGAATAACTAAAAGCCAAAGGGGTGGAGGAATTTTCAAGGTTATTTTTCAAGGTTCAGTTCCATAAAGTCTACATCAGAAGTAATTCAGTCTTTTTAACTGGAAAACTGTCCCTCCTTTGGGTGAAGAGGTAGCCATAAGAAATACATGGAAACTAGGAGATAAAACTTTAAAAGGAGATAATTCCACAATAGCCAAACTGTGGAAAGAGCCAAGATGTCCATCGACAGATGAATGGATAAAGAAGATATGGTATATATACACAATGGAATATTATGCAGCCATCAAAAGGAATGAGATCTTGCCATTTGCAACGATGTGGATGGAACTGGAGGGTGTTATGCTGAGTGAAATAAGTCAGTCAGAGAAAGATATGTATCATATGACCTCACTGATATGAGGAATTCTTAATCTCAGGAAACAAACTGAGGGTTGCTGGAGTGGTGGGGGGTGGGAGGGATTGGGTGGCTGGGTGATAGACATCGGGGAGGGTATGTGCTATGGTGAGCACTGTGAATTGCACAAGACTGATGAATCACGGATCTGTACTTCTGAAACAAATAATGCAATATATGTTAAGAAAAAAAAAGAAGAAGAAGAAGAAGATAGCAGGATGGAAGAATGAATGGGAGTAAGTCAGAGGGGGAGACGAACCATTAGAGACGATGGACTCTGAAAACAAACTGAGGGTTCTAGAGGATGGGTTAGCCTGGTGATAGGTATTAAAGAGGGCACATTCTGCGTGGAGCACTGGGTGTTATGCACAAACAATGAATCATGGAACACTGCATCAAAAACTAATGATGTAATGTATGGTGGTTAACATAACAATAAAAAAATTATTTAAAAAAAAGGAGATAATTATTACACAGCCATGAAGTGATACATTCAGGTTTTTAAAATCATTACAAAAGTTATCTACTGCTATTTTTCAGGGAAAATGACCAAGAGAAGTTGTAACATAATGACTTTAAACTAGCTAAAAAGATATTCAAGTAATGTCTAGAGAATAGTCAAAAAGTCCAGGAAGAACAAAACCATGAATATGAGCAAGTTAGATTTTTTTATATGGGTCCCAGGAAATATTTTATGCAAAGGTGGTTTCTAAAACAGTGTATAAAACAGTTTATAGGTCGACAGCCAAATGTAAATGATGTAAATAGTTAACAGACTAACTACTAAGTTCTCATTCTTTGTTTTCCCAAGATATTATGTAGAATTAAAGCCAGGAGATTAAGTATAAAATAATGCAAGAACCTTTTCACCTGGCTCTGAAGGTGGGGCAACACACGAACACTTTCTATTCAGATATGCAACTTGTTCTGGCTTTAACATCCATTCTAGCTGTAGGCAGAAGAACGGTACAAATGGAAAAACATATGGTCCCCAAAGGAACAAGAGAACATGCTTGCCTTGTAGAGACAGAGACACTATGGTCATAATAATAAATGCCTTTTACATTTAAAGAAAATTGACCAGTAGTTTTGTCCATCAGTTTATTGAATAAATACATCTAAGAATTACAAAATATTTTTTCACGCATTACTAAGGTCTTATATGCTCAATAGCAAAACATAATCTATGCTAAATATTAAATTAATTTTTATGAAAGGACACTTCCTAATAATAATTTAAAAAGAAAATCTGCATTACATAATTCCCCCACCCCCAACCTTCCTTTCACCTTGTCGCAAGTATACTATATTTTGTTTTTTCTTTTATTTTTTTAAAGATTTTATTTATTTATCTGACAGAGAGAGAGACAGAACAAGCACACAAACAAGGAGGGAGCAGCAGAGGGAGAGAGAGAAGCAGGCTCTCCGCTGAGCAGGGAGCCCGACGTGGGACTCGATCCCAGGACCCTGGGATCATGACTTGAGCCAAAGGCAGACGCTTAACCGACTGAGCCACCCAGGCACCTCTGCAAGCATACTATATTTGATAGGACCGAATGGTTAATGATTCCCAAAGAAACGTTTATACTGAAAAAAAAAAGTAAGATAAACTTTTACAAATAACAGACTCAGCATAAGTGACAACAATAAAATTTTCAAAACACCTTTAAATATATATTTAATTATCTATAAAACACTTCTTTTACAAAGAGTAAATTTCTCATACCTGGGATGTTATATAGAGAGTCCCATAATTGTTCTTCTTCCATGTAGCTCACAAAAACATTTCCAAATGTTTGTGGAGAAAAACTGCAATGGTATAATACTTTAAAGATGGTTTCTATCAAGCTGGATCCTTGGTTCAGATTATTGTCTGTATCAGAAGCTTGTTCTTGAAAGGTACGTTCTTGGAAAGAATAAAAGTGATTTAGTAAGATAGGTATCAGTGAATGTGATTAAATTCTTATCACTTGGGGTGCCTGGGTGGCTCAGTCGGTTAAGTGTCCAACTTGATTCTGGCTCAGGTCATGATCGCAGGGTTGTGAGATCGGGTCCCTCATCAGGCTCTGCACTGTGTATGGAGCCTGTTTAAGATTCTCTCTCTCTCTCACCCTCTGTCTCTGTCTCTCTCTCAAAAATAAATAAATGAACAAATAAAGAAATTCTTATCACTTACCCACACATAATGCACTAAAACTGTATTTGATTAATATTTACATAATAAGAGAAATGCCACATTCTTTCAGAGTAATGTCCCACCCAACCCAATATTGTTACTGAGATTCTTATGCTATCTGTGGGGGGGAAATTGTGAGAAGGGCCACAATGACATCACTTCAAAAGGCGAAGCTAGTTTATTTTTATGTCAGAATTCTCTTTCTCTTAAAGAAACTTTTTTTGATTCCTTTTGTCATTTAAAATTAATATACATTCATTCTAAAAATATAAAACAAAAAACCACAGACAAGTAAGAAAATTGAAATTGTGCCAAATCCCACCAACCAGTGATAGCCTGTATTTGGTGCAGTGTTTTGTTTGTATTATATACAGATATGCATAAATGAATATATATATGTATAACTTGAACACTAAATAGAAATATTCTATACATAGTCTTTTGTTATCTAAAACCTACTTAAAGCCAGTTGAATCTTTGTATCTCTCTTCTGGATTTGTGTTCTGAACATTATTGTACCCTTTATTCAGAACATAAGTTTCATGGAAATTCAGTTATAATCTTCTCAGAATTATGCTATAAATTTACAAATACATAAATCAAATAAATTTACAAATGTTTACAAATAAATCTACAATAAATTTACAAATGTTTCTTAAACCCATAGATCCTGTCATTTAAGACTGAAGAGGTCTATCAATTGGTTCCTCAGGAAAACTATTTAAGGAATTCCCACAATAACAGAGCCACTTTATTTTTTTTTAAAGACTTTATTTATTTTTCAACAGAGAGAGAGACAGCGAGAGAGGGAACACAAGCAGGGGGAGTGGGAGACGGAGAAGCAGGCTTCCCACTGAGCAGGGAGCCCGATGTTGGACTCGATCCCAGGACCCTGGGATCATGACCTGAGCTGAAGGCAGACCGCTTAACGACTGAGCCACCCAGGTGCCCTAAAAACAGAGCCACTTTAATTGCCCTTTTCAGCCCTCGTCTGGCTCCATTATGACTTCCTCAAAGGTAAGTAATCATAAGCTCCTACACTATTGTATTGATAGGCTGGACTGGAAAGGTGAAATAATAATTTTGTTTGGACTAATTAGCATTATATGCCCAGTATCATAATATGTAAAAATATTTATTGGATTAAAGATAACACATAACATTGTATGTTAACTACACTGGAATTAAAATAAAATAAAGTAGAACAAATAAATAAACATGTCATATCTTATATTTTAAATACCTTGAATAAATAGAATCTAGATCATTTCTGAATGAGTACATTTCTTCTCCATGCTCATTTGGAAGCTTATCACTTTTATGTTTCCTGTGGATAATTTTATCTCTGTGATTTGACTTTCAGGATCTAGAGACCCCTCCTCGGGGTTTTTGCTAGGACTATTGGTAAAGTGGCATTCCCTCTCTAAGGAGTTGCTAAGCTGGTAGAAAGTAGGCTGGAAGTTACTGATGGGTATTTTGGGGAGGACCTGGCTGAGAATGAATCCAATACAGTAAGAAGCAGAACCAAGAGATAGGATATTCCGGATGATATAACCCTGAAAACTTGGATCCAGCAATGCCTATATATTTATGTTAGCTGAGCTGATACAGTCTCCTTTATGCTTAAACCAGGCTAATTTGGGTTTTTATCGCTTGCAGTCTAAAGCATAAAAGGTTAAATGACAAAGAGTCCTAATCTAGGCATTCATATTTCCATCTTTTTTATTCAAATAATTTCGGCAGTTCTCTGCCCTTCCCTCCCTCCAATCCTCTGACATACAACTATCAGTTATCCTTCGTGTCATTCCCCCATGCGTAAACCTTCCCCTGAAATTCCTTAGCCTGACAATCAAGAGTTAGCACCATCTTTTCCCAAATGATATTCCAATCCCCAAATATCTGTTCCACACAGATTGGTATATTTGCTCTACCTCATAAATGTTCCCTCCCATCTCCTTTTGTTGGTTTATGCTATTGCACTAGTCTAGAATGTTCTCCTCCAACAAAATCCCCATGGTTTAATTAATCAGTTAATGTGTCAGCGGTCATATTACACTAGATGCTGAGGCCTATGCCTTCCAGGGAGTTACTGTGTATATGTATATATGTTCGTGAGGGGAGGGAATGAGAGGTCTGTAACCGATCACTACAGCAATGTAAGGATAAGTAGCGTGACCGTACATCCTGGTTTTCTTGGGGTACTCCTGGTTTGTCTGTTGTTCCGTCATAATTACTTACTAGCATCCTCTTTTAAAAGTGTCCGAGTTTAGATGACAAATTATTCAATCATCTTAAGTCTAAGTGGTTTGAGAATAAGGCACTATGAGGGGCACCTGGGTGGCTCAGATGGTTGGGCATCTGCCTTCAGCTCGGGTCATGATCCCAGGGTCCTGGGATCGAGCCCCGCATCGGGCTCCTGGCTCAGCGGCGGGCCTGCTTCTCCCCCTTCCTCTGCTTCTACCCCTGCTCATATTCTCTCTCTCTCTCTGTATCTCTGTGTCTCGAATGAATAAATAAAAAAATCTTTAAAAAAAAAAGAGAATAGGGCACTGTGAAAATATAGTACAATACAAATAAATATAAATAAAGATGATGTTTTAAATTTTTCAGAGCAAGTCTTTAAGGAGGAGGAGAAGTTTATCAGCCTGACAAGCCTGAGGTACTGGTACTTTCCGGCAACACAGAAGGTTTAGGGGGACGAAGAGAAGGCAGGAAGCTGTTGGCAGGGTGACACAGCGGAAGTGTGCCAGGTGTGAGGGAGGTGGGAGACGAAGCTAGTCAATCACCACAGCATGCGTAATCTAGGGCTCCATGAACCATGCAGTGAGAATGCAGTTGGAGAAAGGGGGTGGGATATGAGGAATAATTACAATAAAAAATAATTATTATTGTTATTACCATAGAAACATGTCAAGATGCTTCAATGAAATATGATTTTTTAAAAAATTTTTCTCTGTTTTCCTTTGCCCTGAAATAAAGTAGTCTGTTTCGGTTTCCTTGCCACAGAGGGTTTTGCTATATTGGAAAAGCACAAATAGACATTGAAGTCAGCTGCCTTCCTAGAGTTAAAAAAAAGAAAAAGAAAAAAAGGAACGAAAGAAAACTAAACCTTTTGAATTGTTATTTGAACAACAAGAAATAGCTATTTTTTTGTAAGCCAAAACAGGTAAAATATTGGCACCACCATAAGAAACCAAAGTAGAATGGTGTGTGTCCTCTGAAAAAGGAGATGCTCTGGGACTGAAAAGCAAAGCCTCTGGGTCTGCAAATAGCAGTGCCCAGGGAGGCCGGTTTGGGGGGGTGGGCACTGAGGGAAGCTGGCTCCCTGACTCGGGCTCTCGGCCTCATCAGAGGTTTCAAGCCCCACCCGATGGCTGCACCTGAATGTACCATCTGGACAGGGATACAAGGTATCTCTGCAGGAACTAGGTGCCTGGGTAACTGATGACCAATAAAGCCTCACAGGGACCTCAGCACCACCCTGGGACTGGGGTAGGAGCCCTAAGAATAGCATTAAATGTTCTGCCAGCCTGGTAGGATGGGGCTCAGAATTTTCATAACACTGATCTGCAGATGATGAGTGATTCTGATAGGCCTTTTACATCTGAGTTTATGAATTGAGTTTTATACCAGCTCTATAAAGGTAAAGTTACTATTCACAAAGTACTTCCTGTATGCCAAACATCACATGAACTCCTTTATATCTCATTTTGTCTTCATAGTACTCCATGGAATGAGTGCTGATGATCCCAGTTTTAGGGATGAACACAGTAAAGTTGAGACAAATGAAGTAACTTGCTCTAAGATCACAAAGGGAGTAAGAATTTGCCTATGCTATTTACATTAAACTAGAATCTCAAACGTCTCAAAGCCTGCTCTGCCATTTTTTTGACAGTAACCTCTGAATGCAGAGTACTCAGTCCAAACTAGATGTTTGGCATGTGGCAGTTTGCTGCCTTCATGCAAAATCCTTTAATTTCTGATAACATTCTACAATTTCACATACGCTATCTCGGTATAGACTTTCTCTGGATGTGCATCTTATCTGGAGGCATTTTCCCACAGCACCTGGAGCAGTGCTATGCGTTTAACTAAGGTTTTGACACTAACGAAGGAAGAAAAAAAGGCAGAGGGGAGAAAGAGATCTCTTGAGTATTTTTGGTTGGGTCTTGGTCCATCTAGAAATTGGATTTTCTGGAATGAAATTTATCTCCTAGTCACAGTATTCAGAGACTTCTCCCCCCAAGTTTCATCCTCCTCATAAGCCGCTGTATCTGCTCCCGTTACCTTCTCCTTTGAAACCTTCTTCTCTCTTGACTTGCTCATGGCCATGCTCTTTGGTTTCATGGTACCTCATCTTTTCTACAGCTCTTTCTCTTTTATCATCTTGAACCAGGTTGGCAAACTTTGTCTGGAGAGGGCCAGATGGTAAATGTTTGAGGTTTTGCAAGCCATTTGGTCTCTGTCTCAGCTGCTCAACTCTGCTGTCATAACACCAAACCGGTCAGAGACAATACGTGAATGCAGGGTCAAGGGTGTAAATAAAACTGTTTACAGAAACGGTAGTGAGAGGGAGAAGTGGCATCGGCCCGTGGAGGCTTCCCCAGAACCTTGGCCTTAGCCTTCTTTGAACCTCGCTGCTTCACATCTAGCTTAGCGATTCTGTTATCTTTTGATTTCAAAGACCCCTTTTGTGAAGAAGTTTCCAAATTCATCACCTATAAATCTAAGCTGTTCCTTTCATGTTCCTTGCTGTATTCTCTATTTCTGCCTAACACCCCATTGTCTATTTGTCTCCAGAGTCACTGCCTTAGCAATTTTTACTCCTTCTCTGAATTGATAGATGTTATAAATTAAATGTCTCTCCCCTCAACTCCCTCTCGATAATGAATCAAATATTGATTTTTTTAAAGTTTTTATTCATTTATTTATTTAAGTAATCTCTCACCCTATGTGGGCCTCTAACTCACAACCCTAAGATCAAGAGTTGCATGCTCTTCTAACTGAGCCAGCCAGGTGCTGCTCAAATGTTGAATTTTTTTTTCTAATTGTGTGCCTTCTCTTTTCCTAACGCTATTAATAATACACTTTAGGTTTTTTTGGTTTTTTTTTTTTACCTCTTATTTTAATCAAAACACTTGCCAGAATATGCATTAAATCTAACTCCTCTGGCTACCTTTCAAAGTCCTCCATGAACCATGCCTCACAAATCCAGACTTATCACTTCCTATTACCTCCAATAATCCAAGGTAATTTCTAAGTCGAACTTCACCCACTGTCTAAGAAGGTCTGGATGGAGAGTGAGCCTCAGCGGATTCTAGATGTTTCTAAGGTCTGTGCCCTAGAAACCAGGTGAAAACCAATACCTTTGTGAGGCACTCATGCACAAACCTTGGTTTTCCTTAGACTGTGAATTTCTTATACTACAGGAATTTTCCTCTGCGTTCTTTTTCATTCTCCTATCTCCCATTCCTTTCAAGAAGACTCAGCTAGAGTTCTATTTTTTTGCCTCTTCTTTTTAAGTTAGTCCCTTCCCTTTTCCTCCACTTGCAGGTCTAGCCCTTTTCTTTTCCTTTCTCTCTGCCTTCTGGACCAGACACTTATTTATTTGATGTAAAATCCTCCAGGTGTGTCTAGAATCTTCAGTCATGAAAGACATAAAAATCAATGAGTTGTAGATCTCCGTAAAGTAGCCATTGTTCAGACAAATGTCATCCACTTGGCCTCACCTCGCTCAATCAATAATGTTACCCAAGAGGTATTTTCCCATCAGATCTACAACTAACCCAGGCCTGCACTCCCTTATTGTTCTCCCCTTTAATATGAGTCACACTCCTGTCCTTCTCGACACTTCAAGCTAAGGAAGGAGAGGGGACTCTTCTCAGTGGTGAGCTTGCGCCCCACCAGACCGCAGGGAGTTGCATCCCCTGGCCTGCTCTCCCCTCTGTTAAGTCTATTAGGGCTGGTTCTGCTATTGCAAGGGAGTCCCGGGGCTTTCAGCTCTGTTGGTGGTTTTGGGAGGTGGTAAGGGGGCAGGTAGGGCAGTTGGCGGGACAGAAGGATCAACTTAACTCTGGAGATCAGTGGAGGCAAGCCATATTTAAAGGCATATTTTCTGACCCAGGTTTTACCAATAATAAAGCTGCTATTTTGAATTCCATCTGCTTCTCCTTTATCTATCAAATGTCTTATACATTTTATAAACAAATATAAGATTTGAAAACAGATTGCCTTTTCAGTAACACTGAAGGGCCCTTTTCACGGCAGACATGATGGAGAACTGAACTCATTAGGGCTTCAAAGGAAGGGTGGTTATCAGGAGAGCAGCTCCACCACCAACCCACCAGGAGACTGTGTTTATTGCTACCAAAGATTTACACATACATGGTACACTAGCACTTTGCTTTCCAAGACTGCTTAATTTTTACTTTCTACAAAAATGCTGTTAATGACAAGCTCCTGCTGAGTCACTAAAATGGGTTTGGCAGCAATGTTGAAGAGAGTGCCATGAGCTGAGGGATGCTGAATTAACCAGGCTCTAACGAGCATCCCTAACCAAAGGGAGGAATTTGAAAGACTCACTTTAGACGTAGGTATTAGAGAGAAAGTGCAGGAATAGAAAATGGAGCATATAAAACCAGGACTCAAAACCTAAAACACCAGGCCGATAAATTAATACCCAAGAAACAGGGGGTGGAGTATCACATGAAAATTGCTTTAAAGAAGCACTAAATTTGAATGTCACATCCTAGTTCACTATGAAAATTAACAAAAATAAAATTGAAACCTGACTGGAAAATTAGCTTGGAGTCTGTTGTATAAAAGGTAACAACAGATATAAAAACCTGCCATTTATTTACAAATTTTCGATTAAACATGGCTTGATTATTACTTTTCCCCCCTCAAACTGTCCTTATTTTGGCAAAATTTTAAATTTTAAAGAAGTTGAAATGGGTCTTAAACTGCAAAGACAAAAAAAAAAAATCATTATTTTTCAGACATCTTCTTTCCCAACTTTTTCCTGGGAATTATCTTCTTGCTTTATGTTCTAAAATGCTCCTATACAAATTAAAGCTTTTCTGACTTATTCTATGCTGTTTTTCTCAGTACCCAAGTAAATTAAACATCAGATTTCTACCTCTTTTGAATTTTGTCTGTTTAAAAATTATTTTGGGGATGCCTGGGTGGCTCAGGCAGTTAAGTGTCTGTCTTCGGCTCAGGTCATGACCTCAGGGTCCTGGGATCAAGTCCTGCATCATCGGGCTCCTTGCTCAGCGGGGAGCCTGCTTCTGCTTCTGCCTGCCGTTCCCCCTGCTTGTGCTCTTGCTCTCTCTGTCTCTCTGACAAATAAATTAAATCTTAGAAAAATTATCTTGCAATATCTATAAATTTGTAAATGTAGATAGGCAAACTCTGCAAAACAGTTTTGTCTGTATCTACCTGTATCTACTAGGGCTCTTCTCTATGCTTTTCATAAGGTAAGATTTTCTCCGAAGTGCATTTCATGGGATGTTAATGGCTATTAGTGCATATGTTCTAGAAGTGCTGGCTTCAACAATATTAAACACTTTGGTTTTCTGCAGGATTTCTCAGAGCCTTTAATTATTCATGAACCCTGTGCCTCTCCAAGAAGGGATTTTAGTATATAGTGTTTTTTAAGCATTTTTGACCATAAAACCCTTTTTAGTATTACATCTAGCAGGACTACTATTCCATAAAACTGAATCCAGAAATCCTGGCACTAATGTTTACAAATAGACTCTTAAATTAACTTCAAGCCCTTTAGGTTTACAAATGAAAGTGAGCAGTTCCAGTGAAAAAGGAAGCAAGGTAGAAGTACAAAGGGTTACTCTCCATTAGGAGACTGCCAATTTGAAAAGAAATCCTATCACCCAAATTGGATTTAATTTTAATTCAACTGAATCATTTTGGAGCAAAGAAGGATTCTGCTTTACCAGTAGACACTGGCAAGTATAACAAAGCACGGCCAAAAGAGGTCTTCAAAAACTGATTCTTAACCCACAGATTTATACCAAGTTCTAACGATCTGATTAAGAAACACAATGAAATTATATGGCTGGCAGGCACCTTCCAGGTAAGTCAGTAAATATTTGGTCACCAAATGAGTAAATATTTGTTGACTGAATGAATAAAAGTCCTCTGGTATCTGTGACAAGGGTGACCTCATTTCTTTTTGAATACTTTCAGTGGTGGGATTTCCACTACCATCCAGGCAGCCGTCCCTCTTCTGGGCAGCTCAAGCAGATAAAGAAAACAAGCAGAGTTGTGAACAATTTCCTCAGGTGCCATTAGGGATGAGAATTCAGGTTTTCTGACTGACAGAGTGACAGCCAAAATCCATCTCCTTCTAACTCATTCCCAAGTATTTCTACTTGCTGACTTGGACAGCCTATTTTTTTTTTCTTCTTACATGAATACTTAAAATATCTGCCCATAACTCTCCTAGCTCCTCTAGTTTTTTCTTCTCCAAGTTATACAAAACCGGTTTATTTAAGTAACGCATGGCCTGGTTCACATCTTACCTTTTCACTCTTAAATGGGCAATCTCCCTTTAAACAGATACTTTGGGCAGGATCTGATGACCACTAAGCACAGGTGGACTAATCGGTCCAAACTCTGTAGGTGGCAGCCCTAGATCGTAAGAGATAAGCTTTGAGCTCCACCTGTGCTCCCCAATACACAAGGCCCCTAGATGTCCATATATTGTCAAACCGAGTTAAAGCTATTTCAAGGGGAAATTCCTTCTGTAGGCAGATACCAAGCCTATGTAGACAGTGGAAATGTCTATCTACCCAGACCTTGGGAAAGAAGTTAAAAGTGCCATGCTAAGGCTATATGCAGGTCTCCTCTCCAAACGACTACAATGCAGAGAAGTGATAAAGCCGCTGTGGGAGCCTGGGTGCTGCACAATATTCTACCACAAGGGTTGGCAAGCTCAGAGAACAAATCCAGACTGATGCCTGTTTCTGTACAGCCCACAAACTAAGAATGGTTTTTACATTTTTAAATGGTTGAAAAAAATCAGAAGCAGGATATCCTTTGTGACACACAAAATTATGTGCAATTCAAATTTCAGTGTGCATAAATAAAACTTCATTGGCATACAGCTGATGGGATTCAGACATGCTACCCCCGAATACGGTACCTTGACATACGGAATATTTTAAGCTGAAGGAGTTTGAGAAAACAGCAGAAGCAGGAAGATCACTCTGACCTTCCCCCTGCTCTTCGCTTCTGAAACGGTTCATAAAATCCTCATGTGGGAGGTGCCCTCTCTGTACCAGGAAGATAGGAGCATCCTTATCTCCCAAGTCAAAAGGACACTAAGAAGGATCCTAACAAGTAGGCCTTGCTAAGCTTCCCCCAACTTACTACTCTTACTTCATACTCTTTGACCTATCATATTTCTCCATGACTGTCCATTCTTCATTAAACAAACCTGGCATAAAAATACTCCAGTCAAACTCCTTCTTTGGGTCTTCATGTCCTTATGAAGCCTCCTGTTTCATGTAAAACTTGTATTAAATAAATTTGTATGCTTTTTCTCCTGTTAATGTGTCTTTGTCAGTTAAATTTTCAAACACAATCAGGAACCCTAAGACGGCTGACGAAAACTTTTTCCTCCCCCACATAGCCACGCTCATTCACTCAGGATGGCCTGTGGCCTTCTGTATGCCCCAGTGGTAGAGTTTGGTAGTTGTGACAGAGATGCCACAGTCTACGAAGCCTAAAATATTTACTATCTGGCCCTCTGTAAAAAAGTTTGCTGGCTCCTCTTCCAGGACACTGGAAGAAAACGTACATATATTCCAAATATCTAATACTAACAAACATCCTCCATCTACTCCCAAATAGCCTGTAAGTAAAGTCAGTGTCTACTCTTCAGAGACAGCCTCTATCACCCAATCTATCTTTCCTCAGCCATTCTGTTTTAGAAAAGTACTCCATGGTACTTATTAGCAGCTGAACTTACCTAATTTTTTCTACTTCTTTACTTTATAAGGTCCGTCCTCTCCAATTTTCCCCAGCAATTAATTCCCCCAAATACAAAGGCAATATGGCATGTCACGCTTACTATTGTATTCTCCAGCTGAGGACAGTGCCTCGTACCTAGTTGAGGCCCATTAGATATTAGTCAAATAGAGAACATATTTATAAAACCAAGTAACCAAACATTTTCAGAAATTAATTCAGAAGAATATTGTTTCTTATTTCTAAGGATGAATACCTTCACAAAGTCTCATGTTTTTATTTTAGAATTCACTTAAAGACAATAGTTAATATTGTCACAAAATACTGGCCCTTCTTTCTTCTAATGAGGACCTCTTAAACATCAAGTGGGCAATTTATTCAATTTCTCTGTATCTAAGTTTTGTGATTTATAAAATGGTCCTAATAATCCAAGGGTCATAAATGAAATAATACTTTAAATCGCTTTGAGTTGTTGGGGAAAAAGATGCTATATAAATTCATGGTAAGAGTATCATTTGTAATATAATGCCCAATCATTTTGCACGCTAACACTAGAAGCACATTAATGACTAAAGAAGACACATGTTCCTGTAGTTATATTAGACCTTTTCTAGGTGTCATCAAGAGATAGAACATAAAATATTTCAGCCACTGTCAAGCCAGATTAGATTTGATTCTATGTAGGAGAAGTATTACAGCAAAATTCATGCGACCAGTCTCCCAAGCTATGTGGGAAAGTTCTCAAGGAGTGTTATAATATTTAGGACCTGGGAATATTTATTTGGCCCAGTTCTCATCTTCACACCCTAGCATCTTGACAGCTCCTTGGGCAATACCTTCTCAGACACACAAGTGTCAAAACAGAAGCCCCACTTCCTAGGAGGCACTTAAATATATGCTTAGAGAGAGGGGAGAGTTTCTGACAAGCAGAGGGAGAGACCACTGCATTGGGGCCACAGGAGGAGTGATCGGAGAAGAAAAATACATCAGGTATATTCTTCTAGGCATTCAGTATAAAAGAAGGAAAGAATCTAATACAAATTAAGTATCTACTAAGTGTCAAACAATGGTACATCATATATATTTACTTTCCTAAGCCTCAAGATGAACCCATAAGGTCATATTAGTATTCCATTTATTTTTATTTATTTTTTCCCAATATACTTTCTTTTTTCTTAATTTTATTATGCCATGTTAGTCACCATACAATACATGATTAGTTTTTTTCCCTTTAAATTTTTTGTTATGTTAATCACCATACATTACATCATTAGTTTTTGATGTAGTGTTCCAAGATTCATTGTTTGTGTATAACACCCAGTGCTCCATGCACACGTGCCGTCTTTAATACCCATCACCAGGCTAACCCATCCCCCCACCCCCCTCCCCTCTAGAACCCTCAGTTTGTTTCTCAGAGTCCATCATCTCTCATGGTTC